TGGAAACCCCCAGCCCGGGACCCCTCTCGGAAACGGGGCCTCCGGCACAGCCGAGAGGCCCGGGCGCTCAGCTCCCCAGGCGGTGCTGGGTTACGGTCTGGGCGCTGCTTTTTCAGCACGACAGACGAACTCCCTGCCAGCCCTAAGCACTCTGGGCACAGGTTTGGTTTTTTGCTGAAGGGCATCTTACCTATCCACATAGCACTAAACTCCCTGAACAGAGCAGGACAAAATTCTCCTAGAAGAGGAACGTCACAAACACAAGATCATGTCCCGTGGCCACAAAGAAGCCGATCTATTGGCCGTGACCAAAGCCACAGCAGGACCCAGCCCTGCCTCGCACCCCGGCTCTCAGGCAGCCTGTGACGGGCAGTACACCCACAGTCTCACCCACCCAGGCAGTTCTGACTACTCGCTCCCCAGTGCATCAGCTTGGGTGCCGCTAAGGAAGCCAGCCCCCTCGGTAACGCACCCTGAGCAACCGCAGTTGGCTTCTTCACGACCTAGTAAATATTCAAAATATGAAGAGCCGACCTTTGCATATGCAACAGCCAGCTGCTCCCACTCCCACCTGCCAGCTACCAGGCACTGTGTCCCCGCAGCAGCACACGCAACCACCACGGCGCAGCTCACCCAGGGAGGGGAAGAACTTCCAGTTGCCCCCCACACGGAAAGCAGTGAGGGCTCATGCTCCCTGCTGAGGTTGCTGGTCCCCAGAAGAGTCGCCCATTCACAGCTTCTCGGGGGCCGCAGAAACGGCGGGCGAGCTCAGCCCCTGCCACGCGGGAGCGTACGGTGGAGCAGGGCCAAAACAACACAGAATTAAAACAGCAGTAATTTATGCAAATGTTCAGCAGAGCAAACAGCAGAAGGATTCCCTGCAAGTGCTGTCACCTTCCATCACATCAGCCTGGCCAGAGCTCTCCCAGGCAGCTCCCCCTCCCAGCCTCCCTCCTGCCCCGGTGTAAATAATGACTTCAATTCCCGAGAACCGAGGAGCTCAGCAAATGTTTCCTGGCTCAAAATGGGCTCTGTCACTGCTGCCTGTGAAAGGAAAGAAGCCAGACAAATGGAGAATGAGCTCTTCCTGAGAACAGGGATAGCCAGTCACTGGGTAACGCTGCCGAGCCCACGCACGGGGCCACGGATGCCCCCCGCCCAACACGGCTGCCCACGGTCCCTGCCCAGCACCGGAGCCTCTGGAGGCATCTGAGAGGGTGAGGACAGCTGCTGCCTGCAGGCAACAAGGGCTGGTGTTAAGCCTTGTCCGTGACACCACCGGAGCGCCCTGCCCCTCCTGTTGCCTCAGGGTCCCCAGCAGTCCCAGCCCTGCCAGCAGCTTAGCTTTCTGCCCTGCCGGCTGCATCCCGCAGAGGACATGTCCCACGCCCGCGATACAACGCCAGTCTCGTGGGCACGGGAAAGCGGGAGGACAGATTACGGGCTGCCTCCTCGCTCGGCACAGCGCGGTTCCCGAGGGACCTCAGCAGGAGGATCTCTGCGGCTCCAGCACACAGCTTAGATCGCGTGCCGGCTTCCAGCCCCCCAGCACCGTCACCCCGCGTGCCGCAGCAGGGCCAGCGAAGCAGGATGCCAGCCCTCGCAACGCCTGCGAAGCGCAGGGCGAAAGGAGCAGCCTCCCCACGGCCAGCAGAGAAGCCAGGTATAGCCGGCAGCCGCCC